TACACTGCTAAATTAGGGACGGCCAGCGCAGATAGCCCTCGTTTAGCTTTGCGCTAATTTCCAAACAAGCGAAATCTTAGAAGATAAACGCAATTATACGTATCAACAAATAAACAAACTAGTTCCCTTATCATCGACCAAACTGGATTAACGAGAACTGATACAGCTCAAAACTTAATGTATTCAGTAGTCATAGTTTGGGATTTGTTATTTCATATAAGCAGATATTTCTTATATTACAAACTAAGTCAAAATAATTGCTCTGACGAATACTTATATATATATATATTCATTACTTTCCTGTCCAAATTGTGTGGAGTTAATATTAAGCTTCGTTCTCAACATTACTCCTGTAAGTTTTTGTTTTGATTTTTTTGTTTAGAGTGGTGCAAGCCGAGATAATAATTTAAGTTACAAGTTTTACCTTGATTACTTGTAATCGAAGGTTATTCGTCTACTGGACTTTGCGAATTTCTGACATTGTTCGGTGCGTAGAATTGTAAGCAAACCTGAATAACCAGAAGCTTATTTTAACTTGCTTGGAGTGGAGTCTTTTCAGACAGGTAAACCTGTAATCCAAGTAAATTAAACTGAGGGTGAAACACTCGAATATAATTATCTGAGAAAAACTACATTTTTACAACAACAAATAGGAGAAACCAATTCATGTGCCCTATCCGCTTTTAGGTAATTGGTTACCATAAATATAGAAAAAACTAGTATTTGAGCTGTTAATTGGTAACACGATATCCATGTAAACCAAATGGCGTGGACGAAAATATGATAATCAAGTCCAGCGTAAATCAATTTATGAACCTGGATAACTTCAAGATCAGAGAAACAATAAATATACCAAAAAAAGGAGTCAACTATAAGTATCTAATTTATTACAATATAAATTGAATAATTTATTAATATTTCATAATCATTCAGATTTTTAATATAATAAATTAGTTAGAGTATTTTTTGATGTATATTCTCGGTCATTCACTTGAAAAGACTGATTTCAGCGGTGTTTAACCGTCATGGAGCGTTAATGTATGTGGTATCAGCATGCTGAGGTTTATTGCCTATTGTTACTTGGAGCGGATTCAGTTCTCGTTATATTCTCTAAAAATCTTGAATGGTGCAATTCAAAACTGGATTGTTCTGCTCCGTTGGCTTCCTGATGGTGTGATGACCTTTTCCGGGACTCAAACAATGCTTATAAAAGTAGGACTGTGCTGAACGAGAATTTTTTAATTTTCCAAATAAATAAAGTATTATGGAGTAACTTAAGTTATGATCAAAGAAATATATATATAAATGCCACCTGTAAGCAGAGATGGCTATATAGATATGCTTTGTAAGAAAAAGGAAAAATAATATTACAAATTTACGTAACGTGGTTAAAAGTGGGCTTATACAAAAATGCATCAAATACAGAGAGTTGAGTACATTATATTAAAGCCATTTTGGAATTTCACCACATCGATACAGGCCTTGTCATTCCTCCAGTGGGTCAGTGGTAAGTTTACTGTCTTATAACACCAAAGTCCGTGGCTTAATCCCTTGCAGTGAATAGAGTGCAGATAGTCCATAATGTAGCTTTGCACTAGAAAACTACAGTAGAGATCCAGGTCACCATGTAGGATCTTGCTTTATCTAACGATTATGCATCTTGACAACAGCCATGCAGTATAATTTCCGTTATAAAAGGCTCTGTCATAAAGTTATCATGTCCAAAACACACTCCTTCTCCCTGATGCTTTCTATAATCAATATTGTAGAAAAGGATGACTGTTTCAACAGTTTCATTGCACATAAGTCTGTAGGCCCTGCATCTAGCACTTGATTAGTATGTCTTCATGTAGAATAGCATAATTGAGGTAGTGATTGTTGAATGGGAGGTATGACTGGAAGCCTTAACTTGATGAACCTGTACTGTGTTGGACTCGTTTTCAGCTTGAGATCCTTCTTGATTATGTTGTGTATTGTTGTCTGTAACACGTGGATAACATTTGCCACTGACCTTTGTGTTTATGGATTTTTACCTTTTACATGACATTGCACTTTTGCATACTACCATTGATAGAACTTGTTCCAAGACTTTTCTGGATATCCTGATGCTCCAAGTTGTTCCATATTCCTTTGTTTTCCAATGTCATTAAGCACAAGGGAAATCCCTGATCTGAATACAATCCTATGATTTGAGTGTATGTATATGTTGCAATGAAAAAGTCTATTGTATACCCTTCCCAAAAGTGATAAATTTTATAGTGTCAGAGCCCTGCCAAAATTTGCCAGACAAGTGACATCACCATTAAAGTAAAGCTCTCATAAAACTTATTTTCCACTTTTGTGAATCCATTCTAAGTAAAGAAAGTATATGCAGCACTAATTATTTGAGATTACTTACATTAGCAACAAAATGAATATGCATATTACTGAGAGAAAACACTCAACTCAACTTCCTTAAACAGCAAAATTAAAAAGCAACAGCAACAGAAATATTGTTCTGAATGTTCTGGTTTATCCTCCCCCCCTCCCAATTCAACGAAGTTGTTTCTTTACCTTTTGACAGCAACAATAGTCTGCTTGTGCACACAGTATTAAGGGGGATCATAAACAGCCAGAGTATTTTCTGGCAACACTGCACTCCTGTACATAATGCCAAACAGTGTAAATGTAGTTCTGATATATACCATTCCATGTGATTCTATATTAGATGAGGCTGTCATGTGACTTGATGTTTGAATATTTAAAAACATTTTAACATAATGTACTCAATTCACTGTATGTCTATTAATTATATTTTTGATATTTGTAGAAAATGGAACTACCAATAAAGTTATTTCCATTAGTTGTATATGTTTTTATCTTTCAATATTGATGTGTAGCCCATAACTTTTGAATAGAGGCCTTAACTAATAGGTGTTTTTTTACATAACTAGAATGTTAAGCTAGATAATATATGTAGTTCTGAAGACTTTCCTGACTAGTACCTGTGAGAAAGTGGCAATAGCTCAAACCATTCTTATTCATAAATTCAATTAGTTAGTCTGTAGCAGTGCTAAGTACCATAGGCCTAAGTATATTAAAATAAAACCATCAGTATACATCTTCATTTCAAGGATATCAGAAATGGTACAGAATAATTAGTGAGCACATTTCTACATAAGAAACTTGAACTGAGAGTATGAGTATAATAATCATGATAGAAATGTGACATTAGTCAATATGTAATAGTGTACACTACTGCCATAAAATAACCCTTTTATCTGAACTTAAAAATATATGACGTATAGACCTCATATTAGAAACTTTTTTCATAAAACTCCATGACTTTGGTGCTATTTTAAGAAAATCAAAAAATTAAATTTATAAAATAATATGTTCATTAGTGGAAATAACTAAGGAAACACATAAGTGATGAAAATACAGGAATCACAGACAATGAATAATAGCAACTAGATGTTGAATTAACAAAACATTATCACAGAAAATAGAAAAGCAAAGCAAATAAGCAATGCAATCCACTAGTAGAGCATTACTACTTGTTTTCATGCTGCTGTACACTTTATCAAAGTACAATTGTGAAATATTGTTCTGAATGTTCTGTATTATTCCCCCTAATTCAACCAAGTTGTTTCTTTACCTTTTGACAGCAAATTTGTGCAGTCCATGACATGGTTGTGAGTGTTTCACCAGCCTCTTTGCTATAAAGATAGTTTCACCACATTTACTGTATGCTTAGGATCATTATATTGCTGGAAAATGACCCCCTCCCCATGCTAAATTGTGTTCCTGAGGGAATGGCATGATGAATCACAATCTGCCTGTATGTGTCAGCAGTATAGGTATCATCAATTTTATTAATATTGCTGAAACCTTTGACTTAGATCCACCTTTAAATGTGTGCTGATCCCCTCCCATGTTTTAGTGTAAATTTTCTACATTGACTGTTATACCATTTATTTTCTCTGTCATCAAACAAACTGATGTTCATTATTGACCTAACATTAGAACTTGGTTCATCTTTAAAGAACAAATATTTCCAGCTTTGCTTATTCAATATTTGTGGTCTGATGCTCTTTTAAGCCTCAAAAGCAGTTTTTTGAGCAGCTGCATGTCCATTGAGACCTCTTCATGCTAATGTGTATCTTACTGCTGTCAAGGTTTTTACTATACTAAGAACAAATATTGCTATTACTTTTTTGTTCATAAATTGAATGTAGGTGTGAGCAATAATGTCATGGCACTTAAGGTGTGAAAAAAGTTCAGAGAATACCAGACTTCAATAAAAAATGAAACATATTCAACCTATAATTTTTTTATATATAAGGCTCTTTTTTCTACCTTCAGTTGAACCACATTAAAATAAACTTGAGACTTTCCAAATTACTTTCTTTAATTTTTTATTCTATTATAGTTTCCTGAATGGTAATCATACAACTTTTAAACTTCTCTTTCCCTTTCAACGCATTTGGATTATCCTTTTTGATTTGATTAAAAAAAAGCTCTTTACATTTCTTCAGTAGCATTGTTTTAGAGAGCTTTTCAAAAGTTTACAAGGTTTGTAATATGTTGGATCTACTTGTAATGTTGTATAATGTATAAAAAATAATGCTACCATTGTTTGGTAGAAAGTTGAAGTGTTTCATACTCATGGAAAGTGGGAAATTGGACTAGATCTTCTTTATGAGGTCATCTTGGCAACATTTCAACATTTGTGTTAAGGTTGTTTTCAGCTATGCTTTAGTTATGAATAAAGTTCAAGGAATAGTAATTTATTTTTTAGACAAGAAAGGCTGGAAGAATCGATGAATGAAAATGGACTAACAGAGAAAGAGGTCAGTTAAATGAGATATTCTTTGTATTTCAGTATTTTTGGCAATTATACGAATATGTTTGTTTTTATTCTGCAGTGTTGAAGAAAACTACAAAGTGCTAAGTTCTCTTTTTTCTTCCTTTTGCTTGTTACTTTCAATATACAGTACACTAAAGTAAATCTAAATTACTTTTACTATTTTTTTTTTACAAAGTTTAATGAATGTTTTATGAAAGTGTGTCAAGAAAACCTACTATCAAGTTTTACAACTATTATTCATAATATATTAGGTAAATATTAAAAGCTGTTATTGTATTTTATTTTTCAAGCTAGATTATTTTAATCATTCAACTATTTTAAAACAAGAAATAACTTCTTGTTATTTTTTTACTGAAATTTTATCTGTTTGTTGTTGTTTTCTTTACAAATATTGACAAATTTTAGATTTTTCTTAATGGTAATTTATAAAAATTGGCAGAACCTCATTCATAGACTGGTTAGTGTAGTGTCATTACTTGAGAAAATGAATTATATGATCTGTTTATTTCTACATTATTTTTGTTTCAGAAAAATGAAAAGAGAATACAACATGCTATAAAGGAGTCAGAATTTCTGCGTCTGAGGAGATCCAGACTTGGAGTTGAAGATTTTGAACCTCTGAAGGTGATTGGTCGTGGTGCTTTTGGAGAGGTACGTCTTGTACAAAAGAAAGATACAGGTCATGTTTATGCAATGAAGATTTTGCGGAAAGAAGACATGTTGGAGAAAGAACAGGTAAGTTTGAAATACAGCTTTTCAGTAAACTTCAATTAAAAAACAACCCCACATTCTTAAAAAAGTCAGCTGATGTGTTAAGATTATTTTTAGCTTTATTCACTGTGCCCCTTTCCCTTTTCTTGTGATGGTTGTTAACTTCTCATTTTTTGGTGTATCAAAAAATGTTTGTGTTTTTTAAGTCTTCTCTTGTATTATTTTATCCCAAAAGAACCTGTCTATTTTTTCAGCTAGCTCTAACATTCATGCCTTTGCATTACTTTTGATTTGTAAATATAATATAAAATACCTTAAGATCACATTAGTTAAAAAATATTCTGGGATCTGCTGAATACTACATAGTTAAAATTGGTGTGTGTATATTATTATATCAGCCAAATTTCCATGTGTACACCTTTTTAAGTTCCAAACAAATCAGTGTTCATATGAAGTTCCACTGGGTTTTATTTTTCATTGCCCTAGTTAAACCAATAATCACTGAAACTGAAAAACTCAATTGGTTATGAAGTGCCTTCTTATAAAAACTTGATACACCTCATAGTAGGTTTTTGTTGTGGTAATATTTTTATTTAATCATAGAAACATTTGCTCTTTATGTTACATGCATGTGTAACAATCTATTTCAAGTATTTTTTCATAAAATAAAAATTGTTATATCATATTTAACAGAAAGTTGATGTGTGAGAAAGTCTTATCATTCAAGTATGTAAAGATATTATGACAAGTATATCTGCTTGAACGTTTTGTCAAATTTAATGTGATAAAACCAAACACTACCTTCAAAAGTTCTATCAAAAGAAATAGTTAAAGCTTATAGCAATTATACCTGTGTCTACAGTTAATTCTTATTATTTATCCACTTCATAATTAAACTAATAATTTATTCTGCAAAATTTAGTTTATTAAAGCTGTAATTTTTATTTCCAACAAAATAATTTATCTTTCAGAACATACCTATATTAATTGTACTTTGTCTGTTAGGTAGCTCATGTACGAGCTGAACGTGACATTTTGGTACAAGCAGACTATCAGTGGGTTGTGAAGATGTATTACAGCTTTCAAGATATGTATAATCTCTATCTCATAATGGAGTTTTTGCCTGGAGGTACTCTTTATTACAGTTACTTTGCATTTAAATGTCTATTGCTATTGGTAAATTAAAAAATGAATTTTAGTGTGAGTATCAAGTCATTTAATTTTCTTTTCAAATTTGTTTCTTATCTAAACATTGTGTAGAAAATTAGTAGTGTCTATATGAAATACTTTTCTCAAGTTGGTAAGGCTATCTCCATTAGTGAAAAGTTTATGGCAAATGCTATTCTGATATACCTGTTATTGTATGACTACTGTGTGTGTGTGGGAGGAATTCATTTGTAATAAGATTTTGGCATTATTATAAGTAGGTATTTTTACTAAATACAATTGTTAAGGATATTTAACTTTGTTCTATTGATTATTTGGTGAGCCATTGCAAGGTTTTCATTTGTATATCATTCAAATAAATTACCCTGTTGTGTTTGATAAGATAATCAAAATATTAGTGTCACTTTTGATGTATCTACTGTACTTTCAGGGGACATGATGACCTTACTGATGAAAAGAGACACATTATCAGAAGAATGTACTCAATTTTACATAGCAGAAACTGCAATAGCCATCGATTACATCCACAAATTAGGGTTTATTCATAGGGACATTAAGCCAGACAACTTATTGCTAGATGCTAAGGTATGATTTCTGTACTTGAATGCAAATTGCAGAAAACAACAAAATATAATCAAGTACGTGTTTTAGAATTAACTTTACAACTTGCTTGACTATTGCACCTAGATGTTTATTTAGTTGTTTTTATTTTGAAAATATAATGAAACTTTTTTAAAAATATATTTTTAATGTTAAATACATTTCACAGAAGAGCATTCATGTCTGAAGAATTTTCCAACTTAACTATAGTTACAGTGCATTCTAAACGATACTAGCAAAACTGTTGGCCTATTGCCCACATTTACAGGTTTCATCATCCCTACATCTTTGACTGTGTAAAGAATGATCATTAAACTGAAAAAGTGTAAAATATTAGTTTAACAAATTTGCATGAACTACTATTTTACACTTTTTTCAGTTTAATGATCATTGCCACTATAATGCAAGTTTAATTTCTTTAAACAAGTTATGAACAGTAATTAATAAGCCTACTTATTTACATGCTCTCATGAAAATCAATGCTAAGTTTGGGGTCTGCTTTTGGGGAATCCCCGTTAAAGTATTTTCGTGAAATATCTGGGTTCCCTTAGGCATTGGGTGAAAAGCTTTACCTTTATGCAAACCTGGGGGCTGAGATGATTCATTTGGCACCATTTAGAAGTTACGGAGCCCAGCAGTATAGGAGAAAGGGTTTAGAGGAAATCCCCAGGTTCCCCAAGGGTTGTGAAAAAGTTTACTTTCATGCAAACCCCAGGACTAAAATGAATCGTTTGGTACCATTTAGAAGTTGGCATGGCCAGAAGTTTATATTTTATATAGTAACATTATATTATAAGGTTGTGTGGATTTTAAAGGAAACTTGCAGAAGTATGGATTATTGATAGATTTGTTTTTTGGTTGCTTCAGGGTCATGTCAAGTTGTCAGACTTTGGATTGTGCACAGGTCTAAAGAAATCTCACAGAACTGAGTTTTATAGGAATCTCTCTGAAACCAGTCCTATCAATTTCAGTAAGTACCTAGGATATCTTCTGTTTTTTGTCTTTTATCTATTTACTGATAACCAATTTAATGACATGTTAACCTCGCTAGCAGATTGGTGTTTTTTTTTTATGTTTCGTTAATGGTGCTGGTTAACTAAAATTACTTTGTCAGGATTTGAGTAGATAGTACCACTTGAAGTAGAAAAAGTAGGGGTTTTGTGTAGAATGAAGCTGCCACAAATTTAGTAATTAAAGAAAACATTATACATTCCACATAAATTTGGTAAAAAAATAGAAATCCAAGTCAATACCCATCATGTATGTTTTGGAGCTCATGATCTGCTTTACCAGAATTTTAGTTTTAACTATAATTCTTTCAAGCAAACCCTGCTTTTAATATTAATCCCTTGGTGACCAGCAGATTCTATTCATTGTCTGCAGGCAAAATTTCACCATTGAATTAAAATGTTTATAGGAAATAAACTTGTATTGTTCTTCTACTCATTTTTTAAGTATGTTAAAGTTTAAATTTATTCAATAGAAATTTTTAATCATTTAAATTTATAAAAAGAAATGACAGATTAAAATTTTTTTTTTCAGCTAGTATGATCCGAACAAAACATTAATAATACTTGTGAATTTCCTAAATGTCTTTTTGAGCATAACAAGGCTCTCATATTCCCCTAGGTGTAAAGTTACGCCTAGTTACAAAATGGCCCCAATTTGAACCTAACTTAACTTTAATAAAAGTGTAGTTTTATTTGTTTAGCCAATTACTGTTTCTTAACCACATTTGTCATGATGTTGTGTAAATTGCCTATATTTCAACTTTAAGAAGTCATGGGCTAGTGATCTAAACACATAATGAAAGCTATTTTTTTTCTTTTTTTTATCAACCATATAAGCCAGTATTCCTTCTACTTCAACAGAGACTTGAGTAGAGATCAGAACAAAGTGATAAAAGCTTAGCTTTGTGATATGTTGCTAGAAGAAAATATGTTTGTGTACTTCCACTGTAATTAAAGTGCTTGAGTTTTTTAAAGCTTGCTTTATCATTTTATATGTCATTTGAATTATAATATTGCAATATGATAGGAAAATATATATTTTGTGGACTAAGAGTAAGTTGAGAATTGTCAGGCTTAGTTAGGTCATTTTGCAATTGACAGTGTCAAGCCTCGTTTTGCCAACAAGGCAACTGTTTGTGGACTGTGTTTACATAAAGTCTTATTGACTTAAGTAACTCCATGAAGAGGCAAAAAAAAATAACCCAAAAATTTTAGAAAAATATATATAAGAAAGTCAATATCAAACTGGTTTAAAACTAATGAAATATATCAAATGAAACATTCCGATTAACAGTTGAAAAAAAGTTGGCTTGCTTGTCATTTTGGTATAGTAAAAAAGCTATTTTTATTGTACATCAGTGATTTTAAGTACAATCTAAAATCTACTATTTCTGTTGGTTTCTGAGCAAAACAAAGACAAAACTTACAGTTTTATAAAATAAAAACTTTATAGGAAAGCTTTAAAAAATGTAAAAAGACATTAAAATCATTACTTGAAATATACAACAAAGGTAAGCATATTAAATTTTTTTCTTAAAAAAGTTCAGAAATAAATTTTTCAAATTTTCAAAGCTGATAATTCATGTAAATATCTCATATAAAAATAATAATTTATTTTCAGAAGCAACATAATCTGAAGAAAGTTCATTCAGACTTCAACCAATTTCATCCAGTAATTTTGTTTTGCAATGCAGTTAAAAAAACATACAACATATACTTTGAACCATTGCACCCAATTAGTTTACAATTGACTGGATATTAATATTAACTTCTAATCAGAGTAAGCTATGTACTTAGAGTGACACTACTAAAATTGATAAGTAGGGATTTGTAGCTTGAGAAAATAATGTAGACACTATTTCTAGCCTTGTTTGTTTACTTTTTTCAGAGCCCCTAGATGTAGGCTTGAAAACATAATCTTTGCATTTTGATTCAACTTGTTTTTGTACTTTTTCTGACATTCTCTATTCCCCCCATTTTAAATAAAAAAATGTGTACTAGTCTTATAAAGATTAGAATATATTGTTCTGACAAGGTACCTTACTTCCGCTCACATACATAGCTATTCTTGTTCAGTGCTGCCCTCTATTAACAACACCTTTTTTTTTTTGCATGCCACAAGCCTTTCACTTCTACACACCCTTCTGATTCTCGCAAACAAATTATTATGCAATAAACCTCTACCAATAGATGCACCCCCCACATATGGGACTCCTTCTATGCTATTTTCCCTAATTATCACTTCTCGTTTGCCAGTGCTCGTGTTCGGATGTTTCATTTAGTGCTCTCTTCGAATTTTCAATTTTTGTATCAATTATTTTTCAAGTTTCCTACTTATTTGTACCTCATTCAGTCATGGTATTATTTAATTTTTTACCCAGTTATGGAACTTAGTTATTTTTCCTTCTTTGCCAACACAGTTGTGTTTATTTTTCCTTTGCATTGTGAATTCTGAAGTACAAGTTACTACATCGAAGGTTGTACCTTCTACCAGCACATTTACTCAGGCTTCAGGTGGGGGGAACTCGACTCTAGAATTATCGACAATTATTCGTTGAGAGATTGATCGTTATTTGACCCAACTTTCTTCTCCTGATGTTGCTCAACTTTCTTCTGAACAAGCTGAACCTGTTCAGAATGATGAAGCATTTGACAGCCTTTTCCTCTGCCTGAATTTGCCAAGTTCCTACTGTGAGTTCCATTCAGCCTAATATGGCTTTTTTGGACATGTTCTGTTTTATCCTTCTCCCTGATTTGCTATAATCCTCTACATCCTTTGTTACATGATACTCCTTTATCTCAGTATTTTATGTTTCTCCCTTCTGATATTGGGATTCATGCTGAGTTTTTTTTGTATCTCAGCTACATGAGGGCGGTGGCATGCCTTGCCCTCTTTGGGCTTTGGATCAGTTTGCTTTAGCCTACTATCAGGCTGATTTTCTGTTTCTTGGTTCTCAGCAACTGGAATCGATTTGGGGGGCAGACCCTAATTGTCCTGTTCTTTAGTTCCAAACCTAATTTTTTCACCTTTGTCTTACCCTCACACCTATCTAACAATACTTGTCTACCATACCCCTCCTGTCTGAGATCTTGAGTGTTTTTTGGGGGATAAATGTAGCCTAACTACATCCTTGTTAGCATGTTTGTTGACTTTGACTCTTTCTTTACACACGTGGTTCCTCTGTTGTTGGGATCTTTTGGGGAGTGATGCAGTTTTTTCCCACATTCGTTTACCATCTCCTTATCTTAGGTACTTACGTCTGGCCCCTTTTTTACTTCGGTTGGGGTTTGAAGATCTTCCAGTGACTTTGGAATCCCGAGTGGAATCTGTGAGACAGTAATAGACTCTTTCCTCATTGGTTGATCATTTGTCTTGCATGGAGCCATGACCATCGTAATCCTTCCCAACCCTTACCTGTTTCTTCCTCTATGGAATTTTCTTCTGGTCATTTTATTCGATGCCATGTGTCACAGTATCAGTGACTACCTTGTGGGTTATGGTCCAGTGGGGGGCTTGTTTATCCTAATTTGGTCAACTATGGTGAGACTTCGCCAGGGATCTATGGGTCCTTCAGGTTTTATCTAAGGGACATGTCATCAGCTTCCTCTCCCCTCCTCCATTGTCTCAAATGCCCATTTTCTTTCCATTGCCTTGGGATCCTACCACATGTCAGCATCAGTTTGAGGCATTACAGGATCTTTTCTCTCAGAATGCCATTTAACCTGTGGTTCACCCTTCTCCAGGGTTTTATTCCAGACTGTTTGTTGTCTCCAAGAAAGCCAGAGACTGGCAGCCTGTGATTGATCTGTCCTGCCTCAATCCCTTCTTGGTCAGCATCAGTCTGAGGCATTACAGGATCTTTTCTCTCAGAATGCCATTTAACCTGTGGTTCACCCTTCTCCAGGGTTTTATTCCAGGCTGTTTGTTGTCCCCAAGAAAGCCAGAGACTGGCAGCCTGTGATTGATCTGTCCTGCCTCAATCCCTTCTTGGTGCTACCTCTTTTTACTATGGAGTCATTTCTCACCCTCTGGTAGGCTTTTTTTCCACGCTTACGGATAACCATGTCGATGTCTCGAATGCTTATTTCCATATTCCCATATTGCAGCAGTCGAGACACTACATTTGGTTTGTTCATCACGGAGTGGTTTATCAATTTCATGCTCAAACTTTTGGGCTTGTTACAGCACCGTATGTCTTGTGTCAGGTGGCCAAGGCTTTTGCTGGATTTATGCATACTCAAGGGTTGTGCTTCCACCTTTACTGTTACTGCTCCCTTTATTACTGTTTGCAAGGTCCTATCTCTTTTGGGGATGTGGTCCTCTATGTTGGTACTTATCTCAATGGGTCATGCTCATATGAGATCCCTTTAATGGACTCTTCATGACCAATGGAACCTTGCATGAGATCCTTTGGATATTCCTATTACCCCTCCTCCTTCCTTTGTAGACATTCTGCATTGGTGGTTGGACAAGGCTTACACTTTGGTGGAGGTTCCTCTTCCTCCCCTCATCCTGTTTTACATATTTTCATGGATGCTTTGCTTCAGGGCTGAGGGGTGTGGGTCCAGCAGCAAATCACTTCACGTCAATGGTCTGCAACAGAACGGTCTTACTATATCAATATCCTGGAGCTTCTTGCTGTCCGTCAGGCTTTGGATCATTTTCCCATCTTGCCTACTGTTGTCTGGTTATTATCTGTACAGACAATTTTACAGTAGTGATGTATAATAATCAGCAGGGAGGCAACCATTCTTGTTCCCTTTGTTGTTGAACATTGGATCTCCTTTTTTGGAGCCAACACACACAGTATTCATCTACTTGCATGTCATGTTCTGGGTGCTTTCAGCCTTGTCGCAGACAGTCTTTCCCGCTTGGACAAAGTTTATCTCATGGAGCGGTCTCTAGATCCTCAAGATTTTTAGTGGTTAAGTACTCAGGTCGATACTACACACCTGGATGCATTTGCCACTATCTTTAATACCAAGTTACCTCAGTTGTGGTTTTCAGTGCCTCATCCACTTACTCTTGCTGTAGATGTGTTCAGTCAGGATTGTACAGACAAATTCCTTTATGCGAATCCTCCTGTTCGACTCCTGCCCACTCCATGTCAAGTCTATCTGATTGCCCCTTACTGGCCGACCAAGCCATGGTTTTTGCAGCTGCTCCAAAGACAATCTGCTCCACTATTGCCTCTTCCCAGAACTCCATCCCTTCTATGGCAGCCTCAGTCCCAGGTAGTTCATCCTGCCATTCCTACTCTTCATATTCATGCCTGGTTTATATCCGGTCTTTTGGGAAGGAAATTTCGTTTATCATGGCAACTAGCTTCGTTGTTGACATGTTCCGTTCATCCTTCCTCCATGGAGGTTTATCAACGTTAAGTGGAATGTTTTCCACTGTTGGTCTTTGGATCATGGGTTCTCCCCTGTTCCTGTTATTTTGGATTTCCTCACTTTTGGTTGGAGTCTTTGGGTGGCATTATCCCACACTTTTTGCTTTTGTCAGTACCATAAAGTTTTTGCCTGCCATACCTTATCACTCTTGTTATGCTCCTTCCGGATTAGTCACCCTTCATGGCATGTAGCCCTACTGGATTGGGATGTCAGTGTTGTGCTTCACTGCCTTATTTTTACTTCCGTCTGAACCTTTGTTTTCCTGTTCCATGTTTCATTTATCCCTAAAGATGTATTTCCTCCTCCTTTTGGCCTGTGGACATCATCGGTTGGATATGTTTGCCATCGTCATTTCACGTACTATGTACTATTCCACTTATCTTCTCTTTTGCTCAATCAATCTTTCTTTCCTATCCAAGACTTTGGCAGCTTGGGAGAGTAATTCCTCCTTCTTGCCAATTTCCCTTCCTTCCTTTCATTTCCCACCTCTATTCCAGGTCTGATACAGATAGACTTCTATGTCCAGTTTGTGCTATTTGTCATTATATCACCGGCACAACTTCCTTCAATCATAACCGTTCCCACCTATTCATTCCTTGGCAATTATCCACTATTTGTGATATCCGTCCTTCCATCCTTACCAATTGGGTTTGGCTTTTAATTTGATTGGCTTATTTTTCCTTGTCTCCTTTTTCCCATCAATTATTCCGGGTGTCTTCCCATCAACTTAGGCACCTTACTTTTCCCTGGCATCTCATCTGTGTCTTCCTTTGGAAGAAATTCTTCAAGCAGGCATGTGGACCACTTCACATACTTTCATCTCTCATGATCTGCAATGTTTTGCTGTTTCTTCCTCATCATTAATTGGGTAAGTTTTATTTCTTTCATTATATATATATTTTTCAGGGGGCCTGTCCCATGTTTTGACCTGGATCCTGCTCTGTGGTGAGTGGTGCCTGTTCAGGCGTACTTCAATAACTTAGAATTGTACTCAAATCTGCACTGTAAGGCCATGTTGACTTCACTTTCAAAACTTCCATGGCCACTAAACGCACACTGTTCTTTACTATCATACATATTAGAGATGGGTTGTTCCACAAGATTCACCTCATAAATATGTACTGACCCATGGACTCTCATGAGTAAAGCAGAAGGGGATTGCTGCCCATCCCTGTCATTCCTTAGATTGGATAAATTGGTCACCCATTGCACTGTCTCCAGTGTGAATATTCCTCCAGACTCACCACCACATTTTTCTCTTCCAGTTTCTTCCAGTGGAGTAAGAGTCCTTACCACTTTCCAGTTCCAAGTCGCTGGGGTGGTGGACCATGGAGGTATCCTCCTGAATGAAAGATATACAATATAAACAATGACAACTCTATTGAGGGTGGTGGTGGTCTGCTGGTGAAGTTGTTGGAAATCCTCCTAAAAGATGCTTCATCTCTGTATGAGCTTCTCCAAGGGGATATTGTAGCTTTGGAATGAGCCATCATAAATATTGGGATCCCTCATCCTACCTCCACATGAAAGTCAGTTCCTGGCAATTGAGTTTTGGATTTAGAGCTGAAACAATCATCCTATTGCCCACACCTATGTTAAGATGATTGGGATCCTCATCCTACCCCCACATGGATTCGGTTCCTGGCAGTTGAGTTTCGGATTTAGAGTGGAACCAATCACAATATGTCCTCACACATGTCGTGCAATTGGGATCCCTCATCCTACTCCCACATGGTTGTCAGTTTCCAGCAGTAGAGTTTTGGATTTGGTGCTGAACCAATCAACATCATGTCCACAAACATGTAGTGCAACTAGGATCCCTCATCCTACCCCTGCATGGATGTTGGTTCCCGGCAGTTGAGTTTCGGATTTAGAGCAGAACCAAGCAAAATATGTCCTCACACTTGTCGTGCAGTTGGGATCCCTCATTCTACTCCTGCATGGTTGTCAGTTCCTGGCAGTTGAGTTTTGGATTTTGAGCTGAATCAATCACCATAAGTCCTTACACGTGTTCATGGGGTGCCTCTTGTGCTAACCCTCAATATCTTTATACTGAGTTTGAGGTGATCTGGTTTGTTTGGTTTGAGTGGGATATCTATGTATTTCTCTCTGCTTACATGTGCTGTTCCCTGATCGGTTGGCTGAACTTGAGGTGAAGATGGTATGATCCTCTTTTCTAGCTCTGCATGGATGCTGGCAGTCAAGTTTGGGATGCAGTTGACTTGCCGGGTATGGTCATTTGTGCCCTAGCCACTCTACACCTTGGGGCAAATCCCTTCTTTTACCCACATTTTGTTCATCAGGGAGATTGAAATTATTATATATTGTGGTTAGCATCACTATCCCACCATTTTCTCACCCATTGGGATGTGCTCCTCATGAGGGTGTCCTAGGACACTTTTGAGTGATGCTTCTACTTTCTCTCTTGCACCAGTCTTTCCACCTATTCAGTGTGGGATTCTAGCTATGTCTGTGAGCAGAAGTAAGGAGGTACCTTGTTGGAAGTTATAATTTTCCTACATTGAAAATATATTTCTGACAGGTACTTATTACTGTTTGCATTTCCCACCCTTCCTTCCCACTGTCAACTGGTGCTTAGGTTTCTGCCTAAACTCGAAGTGATAGTTAGGTAGAATAGCATAGAGGGAATCACATGAGTCATGTGTGTGGAGGTTTGTTGCGTGATAATTTGCATGTGAGAATCAATTAAACCATGTGAACCAAGGGGTATGTGGGAGTGAAAGGCTTATGGCATGCAAAAGAACAAAATGGCAAATAGAGGACAGCACTGAAGGAGAATAGCTATGTATGTGTGCAGAAATAAAGTACCTGTTGGAAATATATTTTCAGTGTAGGAAAATTATAACTTTTATTACTTGAGTATCCTTGCTATTAACAGTATTTTTGGCTATAATTTAATGTTTCCACTAAAAGTTAGTTCAGGATTATTATTTAGAAATTAAGATACATTGAACTATTATTGTTTTGAGATTATGTTATATACGTGTATCTATGTATTTGTATGTAGACCATCATATTAACACATATTTCTGAGAAACAAAACAGTTACATATATCATTTTATGTAAATACTTTCAGTATCACAGTGAAATTTTCATGATAGGTTTGAGTAAAATGTGAGAGTAATCGTCTGACATCTGCTGATATCTTTACATTGTTAAAACAAAAACTTGTACCATTTCCTGTTGTTTTAATCTGGATATGTGTTCTATAAATGTAAAACATTGTATCAACCTTGTGAGTTTCTGAGCTTATATTATGTGAATTTCACTTAATGAAAAATGCAAGGTCGTAACTCACAGTTTCATATCAATATGAATAGATTTGTCACACTGACCAGCTGATTAAATTCAGGGATCAATTTTTGATGAGCAGAGACTTTTTAAAAATGCTATGTACAATAAATTATTTTAATAATAAAGTCTGTCAGTGACTCAACAGTAAGTATTAAAGGCTTATAACATTAAAAACTAGGTTTTGATATCCGTGGTGGTTACAGCACAGACAGCACCTTGTGTATCTTTGTGTTTAACATCAAACAAACAAAAAAAATAATCACAAAAAATTTGCTTAACTACATTCAGAATTATGAATAGGTTTCATTTATCAGAATGGTTATATTTCAACATGATTTGCAAGTTAAGTAAAACTGTGCCTTGAAAATGGTTAATCACATACTTAATTAGTTCACTAGTTTAACCAAGGTGTTAATAGAGATATAAAGTTTTGAAACTCACAATGTTTAATCTTTTGTATCGTCTGTATTATTATTGTTCCAATTTACCAGTATCAAGTCCAATGAATTCTAGAAGAAAAGCAGAAAGCTGGAAAAGAAATCGGAGACATTTGGTATGTTTGCACTTCCATTTTATCCTCTTAAGGAAATCTCAAAATTAGATTTTTTGCATTTAACAACATTTCATTTTGTTAAAAGATTCAATCATGAAGAAGATATACATTTGACTCCCATGATAGTGTTTGAAAAAGTCATAAACAATTTCCATACTTTTACTAACTCTTGTTTTAAATAAGGTTTTGAAGCTGACCAAAATATAAATCCTATTAACAGTAATTTGATATCTGATTCCTGTTTCACTGATATGAGCTTAAATTGATTTTATATTATAAGTACAGTATCATTTAATGTTATAGTTTACTGCCAGTTGTATTCTATAGAAATGAGCCTTTTTATATATAAACCTAATTATTTTGGGAATTTGATCAAATGAATATTATAAAGCATTAATAAGTATTTTTATGCAAATATGGTGCTTCAATTTCTGTGTGATGCATTAATTTGTTGTATTAACAGACTAATTATTTTACCCATGCTTTAAAGAATACATTCTTAAATCTAAAATGTTGCATTTCTGTATTATAGGCCTATTCCACTGTAGGTACACCAGACTATATTGCACCTGAAGTATTCACTAGAGCAGGTTACAACAGTTCCTGTGATTGGTGGTCTCTGGGTGTTATCATGTATGAAATGTTAATAGGTAAATTTGAGCTTAATTCAGCCATGTATATTCTTGTTACAGTAATAGCTATGACATAGTCTTTCACCTAGAAATGTTGATAGAAAAGTTCAACTTAATATAACCTTGTGAAATCTGGATACAACAGCACCTGTGACTTGATCATCAGTGTTATCATCTAAAAAATGTTAATACGTAACTTTCAACTTAATATAGCCTTGTGAAGTCTTGTTACAATAATATACTTAATGAGATATCTTGAGCATTATCAGGTAAGATATGTGGATAGATAACTTTCAACTTAATATAATCTTGTGGAGTCTTGTTACAATAATATCTATGATGATGTCTCTTGAATGTTGCTGTCTAAGATGTGTTAATACGTAAGTTTCAACTTAATATAGCCTTGTGGAGTCTTGTTACAATAATATACTTAATGAGAGATCTTGAGCATTATCAGGTAAGATATGTGGATAGATAACTTTCAACTTAATATAAGTGAGGTTGAAATTTTAGAGTGCAGTGACCTGGTACCATATGTACTATGTGATATAAAATGTATTTGTTATGCATTATAATTTATTTATTGAAAGTATGTTATTATTTTATTGCATGTACAATAGTATAATTAGTTGTTATTGTTTCCTTTTTGCTGTTAGGAAAGATTCTTCTGTGATTCTGCACAAGTTGAAGAAGGAACTGTTTCTGTTCCTTTTTTGTTATGTTGACATCATACTCCTTAATAAGGACCACACTCCTTTCACCATTGTCATTTACCACATTCAAGTGTTAAACTATCTGTAGTACCTCCCTGTAGTCCTTTCTGAGCTTCCAAGTTTGTTATGTTCTTTATGATGAAATATTCAATTTACATGTTCTAACATTTCCTGATATTCAGCTGGATGCACATTGGAGGTTCATCTATGCTTTCCTTCACATTTAGTTCCATTACCATTACTTGTTTTGTCTCTGTGGATACAGCTCAATCAAAGAATGCCAAATCAATGTGTTCCATGTTGAGATACCATACATGTCAAGCAAATTTTTTACAGGTAGATTTTGAAAGAACTGAATTCACCTTTTTTGTACTTATTAAGACATCATACAAATTTAAGATCATTGTGAGAAGCAGAAATGGCATTAGGAACAGTGAACCATGCTCTAAGATAGACTCGAACAAGAAAGATGCAGGTGTCACAGGGTCCTCTCTCCTGACAGCCAATGAGCTTAAACTGTCCCATAAATATCCAGATCTTGAGGGCATGTAATTTCTTGGCCATCCAACATGCATAATACAATGCTCCAGGTGCTATAAACAGAGGAAAGCCCCATACAGTCTTTGAAAACACATTTCAAGATATGATGCTGGTATGTTAAATAGCAGAAGAATCTTGTTTAATCTTTGCTCTAACTGCACACATGCTCTATTTCTGTGACCATTGTGGTTTATTATTGTGTTAAAGCAAACTGCCTTTACTTGGTCAGTTACTCCCCACTCTTACAGCAAATGTGTCACAGCAGAAGCTAGAAATCAACTTGGAAACATTTAGGAGTTGATTTACTCCTGTTCTAGACATGATCATTGGCAGATGACCCATTTGTTCTTTTCTTGTGAAATTAATAAGGAGATTGTTATCCCAGTAAAGTACAAGTGAGACTGTTGGCTGGGACGTTTTCTTTAAGTTTTTGACAACTTCTTCATGGAAGTGATGTTGAGATCTTCTGATCAAGACTGTGAACTGTGGCAATAAGGACAATTGTTGCCTTTCTGTCACTCAACTTGGTTCTGCCCATAGCTGCTACTAAATTGGGAGTGATAATATTTCTTCTTGTTCTCTTTTTAGGTTTAGAAGATAATAATTCTTTAATTGCTCCTTTGTCCTCATCACTGTTATTGATACTCTATCCACCAACCTCATCAACACTGCTGTAGGATGATTTCCAACAACTGAAAGTTTCATTCAAGGTCTGCTGTTCCTGCTCTGCATGCCATTTTCTGTCCATATTTACTTCACTTATTTTCTCAGCCCTTGATCCCTTTAAAGAAAGAATCTTATCTATCTGGCCCATGCACCCATGACATCTTCTTTCCTTCTGAGCAAGAAGAAAGTCCTTGTCTTCTGGGATCTTTCTCAGGGTCAGGGCATCCATATGAACATTTTCAAGATGGTCATCCAGATTATTAACAAATTCTGCTTCATTAGCTTGCTGTGTTTCAATTTTCCTTTAGCTTTACCCATTCTTCTAAAAGCTTCTCTGATTTGATAATGGCATGAAGTTCTGGACAAATTGGAACTTGAGTCTTGTTCCAGAAAGCTGAAGCTTCTTTGATTACAACCTATGAGCTTTCACAAACTGCCTTCTTTAATGTTTTGTGATAGTAAAAAAAAACACACAGAGTACTTGCCTATTTGAAGGTAATTTGTTTCCTGTTAGTTTAATTTCTTCTGAGCCAAGCAACCAAAGTATAGTTTTACTTCTTGTTACAAGTACCCATTTGCAATGAAATGCCAATATAGTGTCAGCTGAAATTATGCAGAAAAATCTGTTTAAGTGCTTACATACTTTTACAGAAATTCTAGAAACTACTGTCCTTAGGATATTTCAGAAGTAAAAACTGACAGCATAGATTATTTATATATGGAATGTTATAGAACATTCTGAATAATGTAGAATACTTTGTAATATTCCAGAATATGTTACAGTGTTCCAGAGTGTGCTAGAATATTTCATAATAATATGCTAAATTTCACAATAATCCAGAACCTTCAAGGGTTATTTAAAATATTCTGGAACATTCTAGAATATTCAGAATTTGCAGATATAATGCATATTACAAGGTAAAATTTCAAATACTTTGAGCAAACCCTAAATGTTATTTAATATGGATAACATTTAGTGTGAATTACTTATATAATGAACAAAATGAGGGGTGAGAGTGTTGTAAATCAAAACTTCAAAAATAAGGACCACCCTATTACAGAGTCTTGTTACAATAATATCTTTGATGAGGCCTTTTGGGTGTTATCATCTAATAAACGTTGATGGATAACATTCAATTTGATATAATCTTGTGGAATCTTGTTACAACAATATCATTGAGGTATCATGAGTGTTAGTAAAAATGTTGATAGTGAAGTTTCAGCTGAATATAACCTTGTGGAGTCTTGTTACAACAATATCATTGAGGTATCATGAGTGTTAGTAAAAATGTTGATAGTGAAGTTTTAACTGAATATAACCTTGTGGAGTCTTGTTACATTGTATTTGTTGTGGTATTCGAGTTTTATTATTTAAGAAATGTTGATACACAAGGTTTAACGAAGTATAACATTGTGCAGTCTTGTTGAAGTATACCTGTGATATTATCTCTGAGTGTTATCCAGTAAAATTCAGGTAGTGTTGTGCACATTGGAGTGTAAACATGTTTAATGAAAAGAAACAGCCAATATCCAGTGAAAATTCTTTATTTCTTCAAATTTTCAACCTAATAGTCAAAAGGTAGACACCCTATTGAACACAAGTTCAATCTTAACAGAACAAAAAGCTGAAGTAATTCAAAATATTAACAGTGGGTTGTTAAGTATTGTCTGACACGCAACCAAATTATCAACATTAAAAAGATAGCATTAATAAATGTATGACAAGAATATAAACAGGGTGAATAAAATATTAATTTAAAAGCCAAAAACAAAAAGATGAGTCATGTGAACATTCACATCTAATAAATATGTTGAGATAAACTGTAAATGCAGTTATAACACATATATATGCACTCTTTAGAAAATAAAATATATTAAAATATTAAACTGTTCATATATGCATAAAGGTATCTACAATCTGAAATGGCAGCTCTCTATCCCTATTAGCTGAAGGTTTCTTAGAGAAAGGACTCCTTGTACTTTCTGTTCTGGAAACCATGGCATTTTTGTTCTATATTGATGCTAAAAGAGTGATTGGATGTAGACAGTCTGTACTCATTGATAAAATTTGCTGTAACTATACTCCCATCAACCTCATCCATCATTGTAGCACAGAGATGTTCCATGCAATACTCTTATAGATCTCTCAGTTTCACCAGCATATTTTTTGTAACAAATAATATGAGAGATACTTTAGAGTACATCTTTTTTCATACATTTCTTCAGAAGTCTTAGGACATGTGTTAAAGTTGTTTTTCTGGTAATGATTGAGGATTAAATGCTAAACACACTAAATGCAACTTCAGTGCACATACAGACTTTTCTATCACATGTATAGGCAAACAAAATTCCCTCACAGCATTCTTAATGGTATTATTAACTTTAGGACTAATAAAAAGGTATTGGAATTGCAACATTTTTTTCTTGAGTTCTGTTCTCTTTCCTTTGTTTGTCATGAATGGGGAAAATTTTGTTAACCAATCTTTTAGGATAACCCTTTGACTTAAAAATCTCCTATAAATCTACCCTCTCATTTGCCAAATCACTGGGATTGTTACAAATATGTGGGCCATGAAGAGGGCTATGATTCTTAGCCAGTTAACAAGACTGATGAGAGAGATAATGTACAAGCAGTGGCTTTATTGATGTTTTTTTTAAGTAGGTTACTTAGCATCTGATATAGCTGTAGAAGTGTCTAGAAATTGTACATGCTCACCAGGTAGAGAATATTCAAAAATAAAATTAACATTCCTGTGAATCTGGTTTAGGAAATGATGAAAACAAATTAAGCTGTTTAAGCCATCATTCCAAATTCCATAAATATGATCAATAAGATGCAGCTAAAGGGCAGGAGGTTGTTCATCACTAACTTCCCAGTCATAGTTGCCTTAATCTCAATGGCATGTATGAAAATTACTGCAAAGGCTATAGCTACCCTAGTAACAATAGGTAATTCTTAAATCTGACATTAAATTTGTTGTCTGAACCTGAAAAAATTATTACATAAAACATGTTTGAGAAGTCTATGCACATTACATAGAGAAAGTCCTTAGAGAAACATATTGGTCTTATGTTGATCAAAAGCAAAAACATAATCGAAATACCCTCATGTATGGTTATTAAATAATTTTAATAGAAAAAAGGATACTGCTTTTGGTGATTTTTATCAATGGATGAGCTCAATTTATAAAGAAATCACAGGTGCTAGTTAGTTGGAATGAAACAAATTGCAACAGAGGGCCAAACCTCATGAGATATTATTGGAATTACAGCCAAAAATATTGTTAACAGCAAGGGTGCCCAACTGATGAAACAATGCATTTTTAATCTTTATACCTACAAAAGTAAGGAAAGTATACATAATTATTTATACTGATTGCCAGGTTGATTATTAATGTCTCTGTAAGCACCTAGCTTTTTCTGTTTGGAAGTTAGTCATTGTGGTGTCTTGTTACAACAATATCTTTTGATCTCTGAGTGTTATCATCTTAAGAAATGTTGATGGATAAGTTTCAACTTAATATGGCCTTATGGAGTCATGTTACAGCAATTTATTTGATGTAGTATCTGAGTGTTATCATCAAAGAAATGTTTAGAAAGAAATTTCAACTCAATATGACCTCATAGTCTTTCTACAACAATAAATTTTGGCTTAATATAATCATGTGGGTTCTTGTGTTGTTGAAGATATTTGGTTCCTGTGGCTGATAGTCACAGTGTTATCAGATTTTGATATGTAATGTTTTTATAATATTGCAGTATAGTTGTATAAAATAATTTTGGATTGAGAGACTAGTAATTTCCCATGTGCAATGTTTACTAGTAATTAAGAAAAAACATGAATAATATAAATTTCATGTTATATTAACTTCCATTAATTTCATTTATCATTAATTAATTATGATGTCAAACTTGTTGAACATGACATGTCTGCACACAATATTAATCAGTTAGAATTATATATGTTGAGGTTTATTGTTTGCTTTGTAGAACATTTAAGTAATTAACTCTTGTTATTTCTAAACAGTGGTACATAAATAATTTTTTGGTTTATCTGTGTTGTTTTGGTAGAAAGGTTATGAAGTTATGTACAAACTTTTAATAGCTTTACTTTTTCTGTTTCCTTCATGTTAGTGGCATGTTTTTATTTGACTGGCTGTGCCAAATCATTTCTAAAGTCAATTCAGCACTAAAGGATGAAATAGAAATCACCTTTTGTTGCATATCTTAAACTTGAAAAGCACTTCTTCTGTGCTGAAAAAGAACATTTCCATTTACTCTAGCTTTGTGACTGTTTAAAACAGGTTTTCTCTATGGCTTTCCAGTAGAACATATATGTCAAAAGTACCTCAGTTCATGCTAAAATTAATTGCATTTGTTCACAAAATGGTTTTTCATCTTGTTATTTGTTTAGGTTTGAATCTGATTAACACTTTACTGAGTGCCCCTCTAATTATTATAGTTTTTGTATATAAGTAATATTTGATAATAAATATTTACTATTAAATATTTTTGAAACTTTAGTTAATTATATAGTTGAAAATTGTTAAACTTGTATCTTATAACCAAAAGGTTTACATTAGAAGTAAATATTCTAATTTATTACTTATTATGCAACATTTAAGCAACTGAAAAACTATGACATTTTTACACAATAATGAAGAGTGCTACTATTTGGTAGACTAACTCCATAAAATTGAAAATAAAATGCTTGATGTTTATCAAATATTTAAATTTCTTATTTTTATGTGTTACTCTATGTTACTTCACTTACAACATGCCTAATTTACCATTTGTAATTAACAATTAGTTAGAATATATGAGAGATTATTCATCTAACTTTCCATGTATTGTTCAAGATTGTTGGTTGAGAGATTTTATTACTACTTTTTTCACCTAGAAAGATGTTTTATGTACAGTTTATATAAGGATGTGATCATTTTAAGGGCAGAAAACCAACTTCAGGAAAAAAGTTATCACTCCCAATGATCCAGTTGGAGTAAACAATCCTTGTTTTTATATTTCTGTTTCATTAAGAGCAACTACCTTCACACAATTGGATGCAAATTGTAAATTGTAGTTTTAGATGTGGGATGTTGTGGGCTTAAGTACCCATATATGCTCTTCAATTTTTTGAATATTTTTTTTTTCCACTTGAAGTTTTTATTAATAGAAGTCAAGTCTGGTATATGATGCATCAATTACAGCTGTGTGAGTCTTACTTCTGCCTTCTGTAGATATCTCTCTTACAAAGACACATATTACCCTTTGCACAATATAGTTTACACTGTTGTCATTGATGTAGGATAGAATCTGGCCTTGTTGTCTGAATAATTGTGGTACACACACATATATATATATATATGTTGTTAAACTTTGGACTAGTTTTAATGGAATAATATATGTGTAGCATTTTCTTACAATATTTTTTATTTATTAAGCCTACTTTGTATTATTGGAATGAACTAATCTGAGATACTGGCATACCAAAAATTAATTGATGTTAAATGAAAATTAACTTCAAGATTAAGTTTTGCTTAATTGGAAACTATTATTTAACTATAGAATTCTTCACATTGACAAATTTTACATCCTCCAATTCAACCTTTAAGTCACAAGAATAATTTTGATAGCAATTTTAAAAAATCAAAATTTGATAATTCTACCTCTGTACTATTGTGTTCTTTAGGTTATCCACCATTTTGTTCTGATACTCCACAAGAAACATATAGGAAAGTAATAAACTGGAAAGAAACTTTGATGTTTCCACCAGAAGTACCCATCTCCAGTGAGCCAAAAGATCTGATCCAAAGGTTTTGTTGTGAAGTGGAAAGAAGAATGGGTAGTAGAGGAGAGCTAGAGGAAGTGAAGGAACATCATTTTTTCAAGGGAGTAGATTGGGAACACATTAGGTAATGGCATCTCATTGTGTCATGTGAATAAAACAGATTGGTTTAGTTTTTACAGCTGTTACATTTGCAGATATATAACTTGTTATTTGTTAACATCAGAACTTCTTTACTTAAATCTGGAAATATTATAACTTGATGCTTCTTGATTTGATTGCTGTTTTTGTATGCATTTTAGGTTCTATATTTAACTCTAGAATTACCGATGGGGATCACATAGACCCTAATTACTTTTTAAACACATTTTTCTAAGCTATTTATGCACCAAATTGCTTCTGTGTACATGTCTATGTTGGTTACAGGATCCCTAATAACATTTAAATAACACATGCAATTGAACCCAATAATTATTGCTGAGATCTCCTGTATAGTTTATGTAGAAAATAAGCAATTTCACCTAATTTTCCCTTCATATAATTTGAGTGAGTGTTGCAACAGGCAAATACATAAACTATCTCATTATCATGCTCTATATGGTCTTCACTAATAGGAATGACATAAAAACAATGCATATTGAGGATTAAAGCATTTGCTATCGCTCACCCTTATTTGATTTATGACCAAGATGAGCCTGGATGATAATAAGAGACTTTTTTAGTGTATATCACATTTATTTAACTTTTATTTATGTATCATATTAATATGACTTGGTTACGTTATTTTGGTAACTTCAGCTATTATCATATTTACTGGGAACATGTTTTTGTATCATCTGTATAGAGAAAGGAAGAAATTCATGACACAATTTTTCTGATGAGAGAAAAAAAAAGAGAGAGATTTTTCAGTTCTGCTTATTTGTAACTTTTATATCACTATGAAACACCCATGGTATGCTAAATCAGTGTTCCAACTTAAATGATCAAATAGTCATTTTAGATGTAATTTTCTCTGATATATAGTACATACCTGTTAGAAAACAGAACTGCACATTACTGAAGCACTTTGTTTTATTATCCTCTCTCTCAGTACTGTAGTGCTGTTGTCTATGAGAAAGAGGAAATTGATAACTCTTTTGTAACATAGTATTAATCATTAGAAATTTAAGTCTGATGCTGGGTTTGTGGACAAGAATCTCAGCTATGGAAAACTTCTTATCGTGTATTTTAGAAGTTCTATAATATTCAACAACACACTTATGTCTTTGCATTTGTCAACAGAGAACGACCAGCAGCTATACTTGTAGAAATCAAGAGCATTGATGATACTTCTAACTTTGATGAGTTTCCTGATGTAGACTTACAAATCCGTAAGTTGTGTTATCTTTATCTTGTTCTAGATCTTTCAGTTACTGAAAGTTTAACTACTTACGTTTGTTAGGACTGTATTACTTCCATACATCTCATAGAAATGTGTGTGACTTACCAGAGTATAAGCAAATTCATTTATAGAACAAACAATATTGTAAAAGAGGCTTACTCATGATGGTGAATTATATATGTAACCTTCAAATATACATGTGTATGTGTATATATATATATGTATATAACTGGGATTATTTTATTGTAGGACAGTTTATAACTATATATAGGTAGACAGATGTGAGTGTAATCTGTGTGTATATATGTATATTACTGAGCTTATGTGCATGTATCTATATACATATATTTGTTAGTATTAATCACTCTGTCCTCCAATAAAATAAGCCCACCTTTAGTAATATTGTACACATAAACATTACAATTCCATAACTTAATATGTGTAAGTATAACATAACATTTTCAGTAAACAAAACCTTCTACATCTGAGCTACATCCTTGCTACACATAAAATACTATATTGTTCTACTTGCTGTGGGGTTTTGGATGAGCAGTAGTACTATATGTAGTTTAATTTTGTTGGATGGCAGTAGACGTTGCTCTAATTTAGATGTTTTCAGAAGTCTTTAATGAATTATGTGTATTAATATAAAAATGCAACTCGTTACCTTTTAATTTATTTTTGACAAGATAGTAAAGTTTTTTTTCTAGATTCATTTGGTTTATAAGTTTATATTACATTACCTATCATGCTGTATTTGACAACATTAGAAATGTTAAGAGGAACATAACAATTTGAAATATAAGTAATTGTATTATTTTATTTTTGTTGTGTAAAATCCTGTTTATTTTTGCTTGAACAGCATCAGCACCAAGTTTCATGGAAGATCCACAGAAGGGGAAAGACTGGGTCTTTGTTAACTATAGCTTCAGAAGGTTTGAGGGGCTTACTCAGCGTTACAGGAATATAAAGAAAAGCTAGTGTAGCTAGTGTCAGTTAGCCTCAACACTGAGTCGTTTGAGGAATGATTAATGAAATAAGTTTCACATGATTAATACCTTGTGTGCAAACATAATTTGGTCATTATTACTGTTAGTAAGTCAAAGTGTTGTAAAATTAAAACATGTACATTATCTGTCATCATTTTCATAATCTTATGGTGTAATCTGTCACAGAGTACTTTTTTTTTCATTTCCTGGCAATTTAATAAGAATAAAGATATATCTTAAATAATTTCTTTTATAATTTTTAACAATACATTAGATTTACTCTAATTAAATACCTAATTTCTATTGTAGTCAGGTGGTTGGCTTTTATGGATATCCAGTCACATAATGTTATCATTAAGTTGCTGGTGTTAACATTGTTGTAAGAAAACTATTAATTATGGTGACTTAAGGTAGATGAGCCTCTTTGTGACAGCATACATTTTAGTCATACATGTACATGTATTTGAGCTATGTGGATACATATAATTGTTTGGATCACCTAGCTAAGTCAGAAACTAAGTTCCATGATTGAATAAATAATAATTATAAATTTAATCATTTCTAGATACAAGTTTTTATCATATCAGTATCTTTATAGTATAGGTGTTAATTATATACTTAATTGTGCATTAGAATTGATTATCAACAGCAGTTTCTTGTTGTAATGATCATTTAGTTTATTTGTATCATTACTGATAAGACTGTAGCTTTCATTTAGAGATATGGATTAGTATATTGTTTTAGTCTGTAATACTTCAAATGTAATCATGATTAGCTGTGAAGTAAAGTCTTCAGGATAATTACGTGACAATTAAAAAGAGTCTAGCTATGTTTCAAACTTACACTAATATTGTGGTTTCTCAGTTTTATTTGCAAAGAAATTAACAGCACATGATATAATATAATAGGGTATACTTCTGATGAATTCTAGAATATAAAAATATTTAAACTTAAGATTCTAAACAGGATATTTTATAAACGTCTTGATCATAAATAGTACATTTTTTACTATCTTCTCATACAGTTCAAAACACAGGAACAGATGCATTAACTTTTTATTTGTTAGGCTTGAAACAAACAAAATTTCATTTGAAAAATCTCTTTTAAAATGGGATTTTGAAATAAATAAATACAGTATATATAAAACGTCAACATTTTTAGTGCATTTATAAGCCCATGAGTTGTGTAATTGGTAATATATTAGGAGTAAATAACTTTCACAGAAAAGGTTAAAAATTTGTAATAATTTGAATGATAAAAGGTTCTTTTTTCATATTCTTGTTTTTTAACTTGCTTTGCTATTTACAATTAAAACTTGAGGGTTACTTCCATTGGTTCCTATTTCTCATGAAGATTTGGTGTATTACTAGTAATGTATTAATGCCTAGTGTTTTGCCCCTAATGATAGCAAAAAAAATATTCCATTGTTCAATTTAATGGTAAATCCTTAATAATGTGTAGGATAATTTCGTTTGTTTGGTGTTTTCATTAACAAAAGGGCATCATATACAACATAAATGTTGTTGCCTTGGTGCTAAATATAAGGAGTTTTGGGAGTTACCTTGTGAGTCTTTTGCAGAATTTTTTTACTGGTTAAAAAATTAAGCTTATCATTTGGGATGAAGGCTCAAACAACTATTCTGAATTGATAGTTTCTGAGCTTAATAAGTAGCCTATTGGCTGTTTCCATTCATTGTGGAGCTCTCTCATGATAAATGCTAAGTATGATATACAACATATTTTGCTGACCAATATCTCCAAGAGTTTCAAATTCTTCTGTTATATTATGCTGTTAACTGCATATGAGAAATTACTTTCCCAGTCATTTTATAAAAATTAAAGAATGGGTTGTATTTATTATGATCTGTCATTGCTTCACATTTAAGTATTAAGGCATCAAATAATATGTCATTTCGATCAGGTTCAATATTGGTATGTTGCAAGATTCTGTATGGTGTTTTCTTACTAGATAGTGTGATAATTTTACTGAGGAGTTTGTAAGCCTTTTTATTCCGACAGTAAATTAACAAGGCTAACATTATCTCAGTTTGGCTCCATTTGATACCTTTTGTATTGGCATTCAACTGTAATATAATGATCTCAACTGTAATATTAGGCAAAGATTCTCTCAGATTTTCTACAATGTTAGCTATCTTTGTTTTAAGTATTTTGTTTTGCTTCTTATTTGACTTTTTTTTTTTCTGGGATGGCCCTGTGTGGCAGTTGTTTTCAACTGTTGCACTGTTCTTTTCAGTACTGCTTTGGTTGGGGAAGGACCAGTAATATGATGCTCCTTTATTGCCACTAGTGGATAACTTGGACCTTCTAAAAGCATAAAATACTCGAACAATCAATGTTGTTTAGTACACAGTTAAAATCATTATTCTAAGACTGATCATCAGTCTTAAAAGGAACTCTACATGTTTCAGCATCAATTCACATCATCCTCAGGAGTGTGAAAAACAAATACTGTGCAACTATATAAATACAAAAAGCAATTAGTCATGTGACTACGTAGGGTACATATTTAAAAAAGATCATGCCATCTACATATTTTCTGATTTTCCATTTCTTTACCCTTATTTCAGATATTATTTTTTTTTTTTACTGTGTTTCATGATTTCTATAGTTTCTGTAATATTTGTAACAGCCATATTATTTGGTTAAGGCAAAATAACAGTTTTATTTGCACAAGATGAGAAACATGACACTATATTTAGGGACAACAAGGTCTGTCCAATCCTCTAATCTATTAAATAATTAAATTAAAAAATAAAAATTTTAAAA